CCCCAAAACCCCAAAACCCCAAAACCCCTATTTTATTGAGGGCTATTGAAGGTATCGTAGAAAATCAATTATTTTATTTGAGATTTGAGAAGGATTTGGAGGGTTAGAAGTGTTACACTTGGTACCCAGCACTAATCTCACCATTACTAGTCTTTGTTTCCCTATTTTTGATGGAGTCAATATTCAGGGGAACAAAGGAATAAACTTTCTTTCTGCAAATAGGTCAATCTGGGGATCTCTGGCTTGCAATGGTCGTTGCACAGTCTTTACATACACAGAGATGGCCTCATGGCATAACTACTGTATTCTTTTGGTCGGTCATACAAACAACTCAGAGTTGGGAGTCGTCTGCAGCTATCAATCCAAGAGTTTCCTCTTTGTTTTCTTCTACAGCATCATTTATTCCATAAATTTGTTGGAGGTTGAAGGCCATATCAAAAGCGACGAGAGTTTGCTTGAAAGGCTTAATTTCAATCTGATTTGTGCTTTTATTCAGTGCAAAGACTCAATATGTTATCAAATTTTGGTAGTCTGAGACACCATCATCTCCAATAATCGGTTTCTTCCTTGGCTCTAGGGTAATAACTCAGGGAAAGTAAGACATTGTAGAATTGAACAAAGGCATATTCTCGTATTGGGAAATATCAAAGGATGTGCTTTTTACTTTCTCATACGTTTGGTCCAAGCCTTTGTCTACTTCGACTAATCCTGCAGCAGGAAGAACAGAAGGAATGGTGAAGTACATTGGGACTCCTTCAGAGTTTGAAATCTGATTTCAGCAGTAATAAATTGAGATTTTAGCATCCTCTGTTCAACTGTATTTAAATCTAGGGTAATATCGATCATTTTCCTTCGAACTTTGCTTGAGAGTGAAAGTCTTAACATCTAGCCCAAACTTTGACTTAATTAACTTTCCGTGGAGATTGATGTTTCTTTCTCGAGCTAATTTCTGTATTTCTCTCTTTTGAAGAAACTCCTGAGCTGCTAAAGTGTAGTCATGGAGATGGTTGCTAGAGGGTAGTTTGGTGGATGCCTCAGCTCTGTCTCGTCGAGATTTAGCTCTCTCTTTTATAGCATTCGATAGTATTTTCTTCTTTGCAGAGCTACTGCCTCCTCCCATAATAAAATGTTCTATTATTTTATTAAAAAAAGGGGTTTTGGGGTTTTGGGGTTTTGGGGTTTTGGGG